CTGGAAAATTTGAGGCGCTGTTAAAATATAATTTTGGACGACGCCGGGCGGTCGGATACTTATGACCGCTACTGTATTAGAGTTTATAAGCTAAAGAGGTCAATGAAGGTTAATGATACCTGTGAATCATGTTGGTGCTCTAAATGGATTTGAACGGAACACTCTGCTTCGTTTAGATGAGAGTTCGACCTGATTGGAGAAATAAATTTTGATTCGAGTTGTTTTGTTTCGCATAAAAACATCGTTAATTTCAGTTCGTCTCGTAAATGTTGCTTCGATACTGTCACAAATTTTGGATGCCTTAGTGCGTACAACTCGAAAAACATTTGAGTCACTAGCAATTATCTGCACAAAAAGTGTAGATCATGTGATTCTGATACTGCTTTAAAATCATGCACCAATCAAATCGCAAGATCAATCTGTAACGCAAAATTTGAAAACGAACGCATACTTGCTCAGTAGAAACGAGATGGAGTATACTACAATGGCAAGGGTATCCTCGCAATCTTGTCTCATACATGTAGTAGGTCGGATATTGTTTGCCAATTCTCGACTTCCCTTGGTATACGTGAAGGTTTGGTTAATTAAATTTAGATCGTCAGTCAATACATACAGTGGTAATCAAATGTAATGCAACATATAAGAATATCAAATCACAATTGATGGGTTTTATTTAGTATATGCTACATTTTCATATGCATGTAATATTCCCATACCTGCTGTATCTTCATCCAGATCCTCTATCCGTAACTAACCCGAATACGACGGTCGACCTCATTCCACAAGTGTTCAATTGGTTTGAGATCCGGTGATTGGGCGGCCAATCCAAAAACTGACACCATTATCGACGAACCACTGTTTCGTGTCACTGGCTGTATACATGTATTTAGGATCGTTATCTTGTTGAAAGAAAACGAAACCATGTTGCTCAATATTATTTAGTATTCATGAAGCCTTCCGTAAGAATTAATCGATATAACTCACCATTCATCGTCCCATCAATTTTGCAAAAGTTGCCAACACCGCGAGAAGTGAAGCAACCCTCACACCATTACTCCCCCACCACCGGATTAACTGTAGGCTTAATATGATGGCTGTTTAATGGTTCATTGGGTCGTTCTAATAATACTCACGTCCGTCTGACCAAAAAATCTTGAATTTCAATTCATCGAATAATATTACCTTTGACCAAACTTCATTGGTCCAATTTTTATAGTTTTCAGCGAATTGGATTCGACGTTGTTTTCAGGTATGGCTTTTTTCTTTTTATTCTTGATACTAACCCTGTTTAGTGTACGACGAATGGTTGGCTCTAAGATTTCAATTTCACGAAGACGATTTCGGACTTGATCGGCGGTGGAGCAATCGCGAAAAGTAATGAGCCGAACTGCTTGTCTTTCTTGCCGCTCATTTAGTATACGTGGACAACCAGATTCACTTGCATCTTCAAGTGTATGTTTTTCACGCCATTTTTTATATATACGAACACTGTGGACTAGCTATCTTTCGCGAGTGTATTAAACGAAATAATAATTTGTTTATACACCTTTTGCTTTGTTATGTATGCATGCAAGTCACAAGGGTTTTCAAAAAAGATTTTTTTCACGTGATGTAGATCACATATATGTCATGATTGGCTGATGCAAATCAATTGTCCGGATAA